CTGGGTCCTCCGCGCCCCAGAGTCTCTCACCGGCCTAAGTCCACGCGCTCGCCGTCACCCGGCAACACAGCCCGTGTGGGCGGATACCGCGGCCGTCAAGCAGCAAGGCCGCAAAACCAGTCCTGTGCGCAGCCGCAAAAGGGCTGGCGGTCCGGCCGGGTCTCCCGCAGTGCGCCTGCGCAGAGCCCTAGGGCGGCTCGGCGTGTGGCCGGGTTCTGTCCAAGGTGGGAGGCCGCTGTAGTTTGTCCTTCTTCCTGTTCGTCTGGCTCTGACAGTTCTTGTTTACTCCTCACAGCAACCCCCACAAGACTCGTTGTACAGCTGAGATACCTGACGCAGGTCTCATAGTCACGTGGTAGTGGTACCTTTGGGGACCTCATCGCGCTTCATCTAAAGGCCGTGGGGACTGTGACCTAGGCTGACCCGGTCCTAGGAGCCTGCTGCGCAAGGGCGCCCGTCCCGAGGCCCGGCCCAAAGCGGGTTGCAGGGTCCCCACCACCACTGACACTGGCTGAGAGTCACTCGGTGACCCCAGGGACCTCAGCGGGTGGCCAGGACTCTGAGAGTGACGGCCCCCTCCTTCCTGATCATGTAGCGCAGCCCTGGCTGGGAAGCCACAGACGCCGTGCCAGATGGGCAGGAGGCAAGAGGTCTGGAGGAGGATGACAGGTGTACAGGAGATGCTGGTGGAGCCAAACTGCGGGCCCTCTCCAGCCTTCCTTGCCTCTGGGCCTTTGCACACGCTGTGCCTCTGGCTGGAGCACTCCTCTCCCGTTTGCTGCTGTAATTTCTAGTTGTCTAGGTGTCGGCTCAGCGCTCGCTTGTACTGGGACACCTTGGAGGGAGGACAGGCCTCTGCGTTCTGCAGTGTCTGCCTCAGCCGGTGTTGTCCCAGTTTCCTGCTCTTTCTCAACCAGTCTGTGAGCTTTTGGGAGAACAGGATCACAGGACAGCGTCCACGGGGTGCTTAGCCTTCCAGGGATTGGACTGCAAGCCAGGGAGTACAGGGTTCAGACAATGCAAAATCCAGCTTCACGTCTGGAGTGGCAGCAAGAAAAAGAAGAGGATTCACAGACTAGAGGCCGCCTATCTTCCTTCCTCCTCTCTCCCCACCCTTCTTTTTCTCTCTCCTCCCCTCCCTTCTTTCCTCTCCCCTCTTCCTTTCCTTGTGAGATTGAACCTAGGACCTTCACATCAAGCTGTATCCGCGGCCCCCTTTTTTACTTTGAGACAGGGTCTTGCTAAATTGCCCTGGTCACACTTGAATTTAGGATCCTCCTGCCTCAGCCTCCTGAGTGATGCTATTAAGGGTGTGTTCCTCCACACTCAACCTTAGTCTGCTTTTCATTGCTCCAACAAAATACTCGGGGCTAAGAAATGTAAAGAGGCTTGTTCAACTCACCGAGCTGGAGAGTCAAGGGCAAAGCATCGCAGGCTCGGCTTGGCCGGACTGCAAGGCGGGGGCGGGGAGGAGAGGGCCGTTAGGGTGGGGCTCAGCCCCAGAACACAAGCAGAACACCCGCGTTCCATTCCTGGAGCGGCGCCCCCTGCTGGCCTGACGACGCCACAAGCCCCCACCATCCCGAGGTCCAGTTCCCCAACACAGGACCTCCCTAGGGCTCGCCCAACCCCCAGTGGCGCTGAGAGTGAATTGGGCAGCTGGAGGCAGTGCTGTGCCGAGAACCCCAGACGCATGGGCGGAGCCTCCCTGATCTGAAATGCTTGAGACCAGAAGTGTTCTGGATTTTGGAAATCTTTGCAAATACAGAATAAGACATTTTGGGGGGTGACATCCTGGTCGACACATGAAATTCGTCTCTTTCGCACGCACCTCCTCCAAACCCACAGCCAGAGATTTGACACAGCATTTTCAGGGCCCTGCATCCCCACCTCGACCCATCACAGGAGCGCGAGAGCGCGCGATTCTCCCTCCAGGGTGTCCTGTCAGGGCTGAAGTCTTCTGATTTTGCTGCCCTTGGGGTTTTCAGGTTAGAGCCACTCTGCCCGTGTTCAGTTTGGACCTGCAGGGTTTTAACAACCATCGCAAGGATCTCTGAGGGCCCTGTGGTCACAGAGGGGCCCGAGTAGAGGATGGTGAATGAAATGCTCTTCACAGATTTTTTTCCTGTGTCCGCATGGCCAACCTTTGGTTGCGATCATTTCTAAACATATGGGAAAGTAGGGAGACTCGTCTTATACTGTAAATCATCACTTGCACAAGCTTCCATCTTTTGCCCCTCATATATTCACTTTTATTTCCCAACCGGAGAAGTTCACTGTTGAGACAGACTCACCGTGTCCCCTAGGCTGCTCTCAAATTCCTGGGTTTGGGTGATCTCCTGCCTCAGCCTCCTGACAGCTAAAACTATGAGCACAAGCCACACTAGAGGAGTATTTTTAAAACAATCCCAAGGCCCAGGTGTGGTGGCACACAGCCATAATCCCCGTGCTTGGGAGGCTGAGGCAGGAAGATTGAAAATCCAAAGGCCAGCCTGGGCTACAAAATGAATTCAAGGTCAGCCTGGACTAAATACGGAGACCCTGTCTCAAAACAAAACCCCGATAAAACAGCCCCCAAACGTATATAACAAACGTCATGGAAAATTCCACCCAGCTCTTTGTGCATTTCTGGCAGACAAGGGCTTAGCTTATTACATATGTACGCAGTGTATGCAAGCATGTGGTACAGCCGTGTAGTTGACTCTCATTATTTGAGATGGTTCTGCCCTAAAGTTGCTGAATCACAGACAGCAAACATTGCACCGCTGCTCCCAGGGGAAACAGGGCTGGGTTCCAGGGCACCTGTGACCCCAGCATTGCCTCCACCTGATCAGTGCACCGCCTTGTTCTCCATGTTTCTATTTAAAGACGCCTTATACAATATCAATTGTTGATTCACTGATGTGGAACTCAGGCCAAAAGCTCCACGACTGTCGCCCGAAAGCAGCTTATCTAGCGCTAGACCTTCCTCTAGGGAGTTTCAGGACCCTGGGCAACCCGGGTGTTCCACGGGGGTGGGGTGGGGGTGCAAAACAGCTAAGCCACCCTCAAAAGCAGTGGTCGGGAGCCCAGAAAGCTCACTGGTTTATGTTAGGGATCGGGGGAGGTGACCCGGGCTCTTGGCCGACCCAGCCTGCGTGTGCAAAGGACTGTGACTGTCAGGCACTGGTCTGAGGTCACAAGCAGGTTTTTGTGAGAAGATGAAGTACAAATGAATCTGAGAAAAGGAAGGGTGAATGGTACCTGTGTGCCCATTTATAACGCTGGGATCTCTAACGTGGACAGTGATCCTTCACATTGTTTATCTGTGACATGGGACACGGAAGCACCATGTAATATGCAGCAGGAAGCTTTTTTTTAAAAAAAAAAAAAAGTTGTTTTCCGGGCATCGTGGCACACGCCTGGAGTCCTAGCATTCAGGAGGCTGAGGCAGGAGGATCGCCACGAGTTCAAGGCTAGCCTGAGCTACATGTGAGATCCTGTCTTCAAAAAAGAGTTGTTCATCTGAAATCCAAGTTCCTCTGGGGTGTCCTTGCCCTTGTACTTTGCTGTTCTTTGCAGTGCTGGGGATGGAGTACAGGGCCTAAGCAGAGACTCGTATTTTATCTGCACCCTTGTGGGTGTCAACCACTGTGCATCCGCTGTCCCTGCCCTGGGACAGGCCCATGAGACTGTGTCACTGTCTGTCCCCAGGTGAGCCCCCTGGCTTGCCTGTGGTCTCTCAAGCAATAGCAGAAGTAGGGGAGGCCCCAGATCTGTGGGGCTCCGTGCTTGGGTCCCTTTAATCTGTCATGCTGGACCGAGGAAAGGACCCCGCATTCCACACAGAAATAGAAAAATGACCGACAGCCTTGTGAGAGGGACGGGGCGGGGCTTCCTTGCTGTGGAGAGGCGAACCAGGAGCCCAGCCTGGAAGGTGGGTCAGGAGGGGTGGCTGCCAGGCACTGGTCTGCAGCGGGGAGGAGGGGCCCGGCAGGGCAGGAGGTCAAGCCTGATAAGGTCCCTTAGGTGGGGCTCGATCTACAGGAGCTGGATTCAGGCTTGGCTCCTGGACTTTACCCGGCAGACAATGGGGAGCCGCGGGAATTTCTGAGCAGGGCTGGGCTATCGCCCCGCTGATATCGCCCAACCCTGCAGTACCGGAGCATCGCCACCAGAGGGTAACATTTCAGCAGATTTAACCCACCCTGGCTCGCGGACACTCCTTTTCGGACTCACAAAGGCAAGGGCCCCCAGAAGAGAAATACGCCCAGCATCCTCAAGCAAAAATAAAGAAGAGCAAGGCCTGCGGGACAAGGTGAGATGAAGGGCTCAGCCTACTGCTGACACTAACCCTAGGCATTGCCCCAGCGTGCAGGGTGTGCGAGGACAGCAGAGTGCGATCACACCGTTCCCCCTGCTTGACCCCATTCACCGGCAGGGAAACTGAGGTTCTGGGGGGACACGGGCCTCGCCTTGGGACAGAGGGGACACCACGTACTGAGGGATGGGTTCTGGGCTCAGGCTGGCACCGTCTTTACACCCCTCCATGCCGGGGAGTACCCACTACCCCGGGCTCTAGAGAGAGCTGACCCCTCTTCAGCGTGCTGTGAGGGTCACGGTCACGCCGAGTGTCCGCCTAGGGGACTGGGTCCCAGGCTGCTGCCGGTTCCTTCGCAATCAAACACGTCCGGCTCCAGGTCAATGTGCTGGAGGACCTTGGACATGTATTCCCAAAGAGACACTTAGCAAAGTTTTTTGTTTTTTTTTTTAATCAAAGCCTATTGGTTTTGTAATTTTTTTTAAAAAAGGAAAAGGAAACATCCTAAACGTCCCTGCCTGAGGAATGGATACATCGAATATGATGTAGAACATCCACATGGTGGAATACTATGCAGCAGTTAAAAGGAACGAGCTAGGACAGTATGGTGGCACATGCCTGTGATCCTGGATACTTGGGAGGCTGAAGCAGGATGATCCCAAGTTGGAGATCATCCTGGGCGACTTAGTGAGACCCTGTCTCGAAATAACATAAAAAAGGGGGGAGAGGGATGTAGCTCAGAGTCCCCTGGGTCTAATTCCTAATATGAAAAAAGGGATAAATTTTAAAAACAGCAGTGGTGAAGGTGAGGCGCAGAGTGGTATGAATCACACAACAGTATTTCTGTGAATTAAAATATGCACAAAATACCAAGTACGGGGTGTACAGGTAGGCATGTTACATTATTTAAAAATCTCAGAAGTCTGAGCTCCAAATCCATTCGTTCTGTCTGGGACTTTGGTGGTGAATAAGAGGGCCCCAGCTTTATCCCTCATGCTTTATGTCTCACACAAACCAGGCAGGACCTCAGGCAGAACTCTGACTGTTACACCCTTCACTGTGCGCACCCGGGGATGGAACACAGGGCCTCTGCACTGAGCTGCACTCCCAGCCCCGATTTTGCTGACACTGGGTCTCGCTAAGTCACGAAACTGCCCAGGCGGGGCTCAAATACACGATCTTTCCGCCTCCT